AACAACAAAGGCGCATTCGTTGTGAATTCCAATATCTGTCTCTTATACACATCTAGATGTGTATAAGAGACAGGTTCAATGCTCATTGGGCTCAAGTACCTTCCTGGGCAAGCTTGGAGCGCGCCACCTAGACATATAGGCCCTCTTGGTTCCCCCGAGTGGCATCGAGCAGAGATTGCTGATGTTCATGTAGGGGGAGGGGACCGGAGGGGAGGCACATCCACTGGCCCATCGTAGAAGCTCGGTCCTGATGCTACCAGCTGACCCTTGGCCGGTATCTTCTACCTGCTGTAGCAGGTATCTCACCTGCTGGGCCTGGGTCCCACCTACGCATTCTCCCACCTGCTGGGGCTCGGTCCCACCTGCCCATTCTCGTTGTAGGAGGCTGCAACGAAGAGAATGGCGGATGTAGGGGGCCTAAGGACCATGGATTGACACAGTGGACGGTCCCCGGACGCCCGCCAGTCGCTTCATGGTAGTCCCCAGACGCCCGCCAGTCGCTTCATGGTAGCCTCCTATAATGGAAAGGCACAGGTGGGACCTCGCCCCTGGTGGGTGCAGCTCCAGCATGTTCCCTCGTTGGAGGCTTGAGCACTGACGTGGCGGCTACGAGGTTCCCCGTAATACTATATTGACAATAAAAAAGGCCTGGAAGGCCATCCTGTCCGGATTCGGCAGGTGATTGACATGTCCAGGTTCAGGCGTCAAGTCCAAGTGTAGGGCTGCGCTTATTGAGGGAAGGTAAGGATTGGTGAGTTCAACTGATTTCTGCTGTTCCTCATCTTGTGACGCGCAACCTCACGCCCTGTGCTGTCTTTCGTTCGGAGTGCTAGAGGTGCGGAAAAGGGGCCCAGAAAAACAGCAAGATGGGGTGTGCCAAGGATTTTTGGAAATTGAGTGTGGGGACACAGACGGAACTGAAATCCCCCGTGTTGTCCGATGAAGTAAGTCGACCGTTTTTAGCACGTCACAAAATGCGCGCGAGAGTTCGGCGCGAAAGGGGAGAAAAATACAAATTCAATCCAAAAAGTATTGTCGGACTTCCCACCGTGCTATGGCCCTTCATTTAGAGCGAAAAGGTTTCGGCACGCTTCGCGTGTCTCGTCTTCGTATTAAGTCCCGACGTCGTTCACCAGTCAGTTCTGAGTCGGACGTGGAGGGCCTCAGTCGTGTGGCTCTTTCTTTGTGTTCGTCTTCACTCCGTACGTGGTAGTGGAAACCCTTGAATTCGTAGCGCTCAAAGCGCTGACACTCGATGCATAGAGTGCGAGGCCAGTGGGGTTCTAGTGCCGTCCACGAGATGACGATCAACTCTTTAAATGGCAACAATATCGAGTAAGGTGGAAAGTGTGTATCGATAATGACAAACCTAGCCTCTACGAACCCTGAACAACGATTTTCCGGAGGGAAGTAATATCGTTCGCCGATCCGTGCGACATCTTCTCGTACGTCCCACTCTCATACACGTGTCCTTTCCTCGTCGTCAGGAAAAGGTCGCGTTGATACGGGAGATACGTGAGGCTGACGCCCGATCGAAGGGCGTTTGTCAGTCCACATGTCAATCAATTGCAAAAATCCCGAGACGTCGTCAAAGAAAAACACTCGCACAACCACCAATCAATTCTTTTCGACACGAGAGAGAGAGAGAACACTCATGAGCTTGATCATGCATATAACTTAGGGACCGACCCGCGACTCAGGTTTAGTACGCCACCGCGGCGTTGATCCCAGGCGCCTTGTTTCTCGAGGCTTCCTTGTAGATCGCTTGCAGATGTCGTGCAATATAAGGCAGATGGCATGCGCAGTGCATTCAGAATTGCAGATCTAAACACTCTTGCATTCTCGAACAAAATCCCGCCGAGTGCGGCGTCTAATCAATCAATAAAGGCAGGCATCTCCATACATACATTCACTGTGAAAAGTGCGAAAATGATAGGGGTGCTCAGGTCGGAAATCAACCGAGGGAATTGTACACACGCATCCACCGTTCACAAGACAAGAGGATCAATTCCTCGATATCCGGGGATTACCCAGGAAACTAATGGAAGAGTTCCGGAAGAAGTTCCTTCACACAGGGGAGCACACAAATTCATTCTCATTCATGAGAGGGACAAGCATCAAGGCACATCGTCATTCAAAGATAGAGGAGAGAGAGAGAGACGGGGGAGGAAGGTCGAGATAGAAGACGACAAGATCCGAAAAGAGAAAATTCGGCGTTGCCGCCGTATACTCACGCCAGAGATAAAGATCCGCAACAACAAAGGCGCATTCGTTGTGAATTCCAATATGGCCCCGGGCCAACCACCCACTCAACTCCAATTATCGATCCTCATGCCCGCACCGACGATCCCGACCGTCACGTGCGAACTCCCACCACTGCGATCGTCACCCCACCAACATAAACTCGACGCGGTTCGCCCAGATCCCACAGTCCGTCGTGGCGATCAAGTGCGCAAGCGGCCAGCCTATCGTCAGCCCGACAGGACTTTCCGACTCGCACCAAACACTCTGCCTAGCCACTGCTTCCCGGAAGCTGGCTTGGGAGTCGAGAACGTAAGAGAGA